AGCTTGGCTGTCCAGAAACTCAATCTGTAGACCAGGTTGCCCTTTAACTCAGAGCTCTGCTTGCCTCTGTCTCCTGAGTACTAGGATTACAGTGTGTACCACCATGCATGGACCTAAGCTGTTCTTCAATTCCTTTTCACAAGTTGGAAGCTTAGCTGGTGGGGTCTTGCCCTGAGGTCATCATTCCCTTTATTCCATTTAGCATCAGGCTTTTCTTTAAACTTTTTCCTAGTGCTCCTTTTCTCCTCACACTCTATAGTTTGTATTTTTCCTTGCTCAGCTTGTTCCTTTTCATTATAGATCTGCATAAGACTGACCACTAATAACCAAGCAACACAGCCAATACTAAGGTTGTTCTGAAATGTCCTCTGCCAAAGCTGTTAATCCATAACTCTTCAACTTAGCCTCAGGCAGATTTTTGGACAAGGGCAAAAACAGCCAAGGTCTCTTAGCCACATATTAATAGTCCTCTCCTCTGAAACCTCTTGAGCTGGGCCCCATAGTTAAGTCATCCTGAGCACCACCGTCTTCCATGTTCCTATTAGGATGGTCCATTAAGCCCCACTTAAAACATTTAACTGCTTTTCTAACCCAAAGTCCAAATTCCTCCGAATAAATGCATGGTTGGGCCTCTCAAAGCAATACCCCATTACCTGGTACCAACTTCTGTTTTAGTTAGGGTTTTATTGCTGTGAAGAGGTATCATGACCACAGTAACTCTTATAAAAGAAAACATTTAATTGGGGCTGGCTTACAGTTGAGAGGTTCAGTCCATTATCATCATGGTGGGAAGCATGGTGGCATGCAAGCAGACATGGCGCAGGAGAGGAGCTGAGAGTTCTACATCTGGATCCATAGGCAGCAGGAAGAGACTAAGACACACGAGGCCTGGATTGAGCTTCTGAGACCTCAAAGTCCACCCCTAGTGACACACTTCCTCCAACAACAACACACTTCCCAATAGTGCCAGTCCCTATGAGCCAATGGGGCCATTTTCATTCAAATTACTACAAAGCCTAATTAATCAGATAGTTTAACAAAGTATTTTATTTATACTAGAGGCTAAATAGTTACAGATAGATGATTCCTTTGTTTAGTTTGCAAGTAACATTGAGATGATTTTGTTTAAATTATTCTCTAAGCCATAAAAACAACTATATTAATATAGTAATCTTATAAGTATTGATCCTGTCTCATAAATATGAAAGTAGCAAGGCAAACTATCATATTTCATAAGTAACCTGAATAACTTGCTCCTCTAAATTTGGTCACCCTCTGAATTTTCCTATGTGTGTTAGTTTCTCCAGAAAGTACATTCCTTGAAAAAGCTGTTTCCCATCTGTGTAGATGCAAATAGCAATCGGGGACTACAACCTTAACTAATGCTCTTTAAGTTTGAGCATCCAGCCTAGAGAGACGTCTTCCCTGGCGTTGTAGTGAGGACTAAAGTGCACTCTCTTAGGGGTTTTCTTCTCCTGTACCAGGCATTTGCCTGCCCTTAGATAATAAGGCCTTGCACTATTTCTCTGCTGTCTCTAGAAAGAGGAACACCAGCACATGCCAGAAATGGGCATTTTCTCAAACAGTATGTAATGTTCTGGAGGAAAAAATAGCAGATAGAATAGACATAAGAACACTAGAAATCTTAAAATGCATCCAGTCCTATCACAAGCCAAGGATATTGTTACATAAGTTACTGTTCATAAAGAAGAGGCTCTAGGATTAGATAAGCAACAACTGAATAAACATTTGTACTTAAAAACATTATAGGAAAAACATTTTAAAATAGGTCAACAAGCTGCTGCTTCTGTGATATGACAGAACATGTTTTAAACTCCCTAGGTTGGAGATATGGATATATATATATATATCCATCCAAATAGATTGAGTGAAATGTTCAAGTTTTAGTAAAACAGGTTCTATTTTATAGTTTCAAGCAGAAAGATAGTGAAAGGGATTTTTAAAAATACAGCTTCAGAAATCAGAGAGTTAGCTCAACAGTTAAAGCACTTGCTGCTCTTGCAGAAGACCCAAGTTCAATTCCCAGAATCCATGTCAAAAGGCTCGTGACTATGTGCAACCCTGTTCCAGGAGCAAGGATGCCTCTGACCGCTGGTCTCTGCAGGCACCTACATTCACATGCACATATCCATACACAGACACAAACACATACTTTTTTTTTTATATAATACAGAGAGAGAGAGAGAGAGAGAGAGAGAGAGAGAGAGAGAGAGAGAGAGGG